CCGTTTCAGTCCAGTTCTTAGAATTGAAAAGTTTCACATAACAGCATTGTTTAATTAACAGCATAGTGTTTTTACTTAACAACACGGGTAACGGACCAATGAGGTTCAAGAATTGAGAGAAGAAGTAAAATTGTAATGCTTTGAACTTCAACTAATCAGCTGTTTACCAATTTATATTGTTTACGATTGGTACAATTAGTGTTTGGTACAATGTTTAGTTGGATCAATATTTTTAAGGCAATGAGAGGTTGTAAACGAAAACATAGCCTCACTTAGAATTTATGATTCGTGGTCTTTAGAAAGACTGTCGTAGGGAAAGGTAGTGTACGCAAACGCAACTCGTGTAAATAGTGTTAACGACACTCGTAAAAGTTTTTGAGGCACTCGCCAAGGCTCGTACCTTAAATTTTCTACTCGTGTCATTAACACTATCTTTACACAATCGTCGCGTAAACTACTAAAATAACTAACTGCATCACATTTTTACTCACTTAGATATTTACGATGAAATTTCTTGATAATTAATGTTTAGGCGTACAAAGGTACACAAGTACCCCACCATTTTTTAAGTCTTACATTTATTATTTGGGCAACCCAGCAGAGAATTAAAAAAATTATTTTATGATTATATTCATGCAACGTATTTTAAGGCGAGTATGAACGAATGATGTGTTATTAAGAACGAATTGGCTAGTTAAAAAACGGCCGTAGGTAAAATACCGTAATTAACGTAGGTAAAATACCGTAATTAATTATGCCGCAGTTACAGTTTCCGTCCATGAAATTTAAGATTTCTAATCTATTCATCCAGAGTAGTTTTTACAGGATGTTAATTGGTGGTGTTGACGATTCTAAAAAAAGGTTTACGGGATTGTCTGGGTTTTGAAAAAGTTTGATGAAAATAATATTAGATAGAACAAATCACAATGGAGGATCTTTGAAAAGTTACCGATTCTAAAATTAATTAAATCCTTATTATTTTAACACCAGAATTATTGAATATGTCCAACAAATTCATTTAAATTTCTTCTAAATACAAAAGACACATGCAAATATTTGTTTATGAAAATATAATCATTTAGGCTACATCTTTCTTCAGTATGATATGGTATTGAATATGATGAATAATTTGTATTTATTTATATATTGGTTGGTTACAATGTTTTTCTCCTTTAAGAAGGGGTAGTGGGAGGTTGGGAGGTTGGGAGGAAATGACTTTTTGGATTAAACGCTGAGAGCAAAACTGCTAAAACGGAGACCCAACAAAACACACTCTGCTTCTATATACTGTACTCGAGTATATTTAATTAAATAAATAAGTTTACTGTTCAAGCTTGTGATAATTTACGAGTAGTTGTCTTAGAAATCGAGCACTGTATTTCCAACATTTATTTCTACGAATTAAGCTTTGTGACGTCTAAATAACGCAAACACGTACTCCGATCAAGTCATGCATAACTAGGTAGATGGTAGCGTGGTAGCTTGCCCGTTTCTCGCAACGAAGTTTAAACCCAGAATAAAACTGCTTGTAAGCCATCTGGCAAAAACGACTATCATTACGATTGATTAGCACTAGTAAATATGCAATCAATGGTATCACTTAGAATAAATAGATCTCTTTTACAAAACATCCATTTTCAGGTGTTTCTAATTAGTTGTTTCTAGTATAAAATTAGTGGAATATCAAAATCGTAATTTACGACCTGTTAAAACTTTTCAAATTAAAAATTTGTCCATTAGAATGTTTACGGACACTGATCAGTCACGGATAATGAAAATGAAAACGGAAACTCAACGGAAACGAGAACGGTAAAAAAAGTAAAATACCTCCGCCGCAGCAAACCTGCAGACTAAGCGAATTTCCATTTGACTGATGGATTTACACTGAAATGTCTACTTAAAAATATAACATTTATTCCCTATTTAAATATAATTATTTTAACAAGTACTTAGGTTTGTACTTAGGTTTGCTGCATCAGGGAGGGTAAAACTGTTTTTTTTGTAAAATTTTAATAGTTAGTAAGAAATAAAAACATCTTCCAAATTTAATCAAAATATGTTCATAAACAAGCAAACTACAACAGTTTACTTATTCTCCATAAGAATAACATGGGAATTTTAAATTTACTATTTTTTGGAATTTTCTCCGTAACCATTAGGCGCATAATAACGCTTCAATATACTAAATTATTTGTTTTTTTAAGCTCTACAAAATGGTTTGGAAAGAAATTGCTAAATTTTATGTTTTTTGGGTCAAAAATGGGTAAAACCTATTTTTACCCCATAAAACCCCCCGTAAACCCCCGTTCCCATGGTCCGATCATGCTGGATCGCGAACTCGTTCGAATTAACGTAGGTTTACACGTTTGTACCAAATTTCATCAAAATCGGATCATTTTTGCTCGAGTTATCGTGCTGACGGACACATATATATATATATATATATAAATATATAAATATATAAATATATAAATATATATATATATATATATGAATTTGAACGGATGGTGTTTTTGGCCTCTAGGGACCTCAAAACGAAAAAAAAAATCGGTCCCGCGTCCAGGTCTTACCATGAGTACTACGGTAATAGCTTATTCCCTATATGGGAAATTCGCTAAAAGTAAAAAAAGAAAAAGAAAAAGGTAATATAAATGGAAATGGAAACGGAAATGGAAATGGAAAATGGAAACGGAAACTGAAACTGAAACTAAAATAAAAACGAAAATGAAAATGAAAATCTTTATCTTCATTTTTAAGCATGTACTGTACATGCAATGGGCATCGTCATTACAATAAAAATAGCTTCTTCATCAGCTTTGTACGGTACATGTTATTAAATTTACGGAAAGTAAATAAAAACATGCTTAATAACACTTAAATCATATACTTAAACAGTTAACTCACAAGACGGCAAATGTTATTCGCCTATCGGGTTTGATGATGACTGGAGTGTCCAATAGAAATCGATCACCACTTACCATATTTTATGTACGTCTTGTGAATTAAGAGCATAATTGTCAATAAGTGGTTCAAGTGTTATTAGATGTGTGTTAACATGTACAATGCTGATCAAGAAGTAATTTCCTGACTAGTTAAACATGTTTTAAGCTTAACATGGTAGCTTAAAAAATTGACAAGCAGAGTCCATAGGTACTTAAAATGTGTAAAACGGTGAATTTTTAGTTGAAAGCAACAATACAATATGGTATTTCATCTAAATTTTCCATCTCAATAATTTGAGCCACCAGATTTGTGTTCTTATTTACCTTCCCAGCTTTAAACTACAGATTAAAGAGTAGACACTTTTTAATCTGTACTTAAACATAACCCTTAGATTTCAGAATTTTTGTCAATTTCAAAAAGTGTAGGCCTAACCCCGATCATAAGAGCAGTTTTAATGCATAAAAGACTTATATACATACAATTATATTCATAAAATGTCTTATGAATTACCCTGATACACTGCAGTATACAATTTTATCCTTTTATAACATGATTCTGTTTTAAAAGTCACATTATCTCCATTATTTTTAGATCTAAAGAATATTTTTCACTCACAGCCATTGAGCTCAATTTGTTATTATAATTTATCAAGACTTTGTTAACGGAAATTGTTCACTATGTAGCTAATGTATAGAAAAAATAATAATAATATAAGATAAGATAGACTGAAAATGTTATTTATATTTTAGATGGATATTTTAGTAGTATAGTGCTAAAAGCCCTCCTAAAGTAGTTGTAAATGGTTTGCAATGTTCTTTGATGTGAGTAATGAAACAATAACATTGTAGGATGAAATCTACATTAGCTCCAGAAGTGCACTTTGACCTTTGGAACAAACCACTAACATTTACTGGCTACAGAACTCCCTTCTTGTCCTTTTCATATATATTTTATTTTCTATTTCCTGCTAAGTCTTTCCTGGAGTAGAAAATATCAATTACTTTTCCCTGAACTATACTTCAAAAAATTTTTATTTGTTGACAGTAACCTTGATAAAAAGGAGTTTAGTGAAGTTTTACAGTGACAAGTTCTTGAGAAAAACTGTCCCATAAAATCCAAACTTTAGAATCTCCTAAACTGTCAAAAAATTAAAACAAATTAAAACAATAACTTTACATTTATTTTGGTAATTTCACAAGGACACTACAATATGTAGAACTCATAAATAAAGTATTGTATCCACTTACTAATTATATGCAAGAAAGCTTTTCTAACCATGCAGCCAGTATTTTTTTTTAATCTCACAAATAAACTAAAAAAATCTTTACTAGTGATATATTTGTTATTTTATTACAAAGACACATCAAAATCAACACATAATCAAATTTCAGATTCATATGACATAACTGCTGACTTTTATCAGTAGTATGTTTTCTGTGCTTTTATGAACTAAACAGTTTTGAAAAGTGGGGTGAATTTGATAAATTATAGCAAGTTTAACACATGCTTTGTAAAGCATAGGTATTCTATTTTAATTAAAAAGGAAACATTTATGGTTTTTATTTGTTGGAAGAATATATGAAGTTTTAAAAATGTTGCACTTCTACGTTGAGTCCTATGAATGGTTTTGTTTGGTATGCATAATAAAAAATCAGTAAAACGGATTTTTCTTAACTGAAGGACTATTTCCGCGGATAAATTATGAATTGAGAAATATTTACGATTGAGAAATGAAATGCACCTTGACCAGTTGGGGAATATGCAAGGTTTTCTTTTACGTATCATGTTTAGAACAAGATTGATTGTTGACTGAACTGAACAATATAAAATGACTTGAATATTGTGATAGGTTGAGTTTAAAAAGGAAAAAATAAAGTAAATATCTCTTTCACATCTACAATGCTCTTCTTTCAGTCTTATTATGTTCACTCAATACGAGACAGGTTAAAATGTAATATTTTAAGGAAACAGTCAAGGGGAATAAACGGTTTTTGTATGTGTATGTACATATTTTTATTTTATTAAAAACATGTGCGTTTTCAAATAAATACCATCAACATAAAAAATAAAACATATAGTACAACTTAATATTATGTATGGTTTATTTAAAATACTACTTGTTAAAACTAATTATTTTAAATGCCGGACAGATGTTTAATTTTTAAGTCACAATTACACACTCAGTTTTGAGTTTAGATATTACTACTTTTTTGGTAACTGCCATTACTGTACTTTGTTGGAACAATGCTACAATTTGTAGCTTTTCCAACTCTAAAAACTAAATGTCTTACAATGATGATTTTAACAACGTTAAGTGCATTTAAAACACTCGTATGTACAATATAATAATACCTAGTTATGTACTAAGAATCTTAAAACTTTATTCGGGGCACTTTTATCTTGAATAAAAATCAAGATATAAGATCAGCCATTTATTAGGACGGCAGAGAATTACACATTAAATTAAAAAATAAATATTACAGCTATATCAAATATTTTTAAAGCTAAAAAAACATCAATAAAATTTGTGCTTTAACCAAATAAAAAGGTCTAAAAACATCTTAAGCAACATCTTAACATCTAATAACATCTTGTGTCTAAAGGTCAAACAAATTCCAGAGAGAAAACACATTTTATTATTCTTTTTTGAAAAAATTGTTCATGTTATAAAACAGTGCTTGTGGTATGTTAAAAAAACAAAACTGTTAAAAAGCTTTTAAGAATTTCTAATGATAACCAATTCAGTACTGTCAGTACTTAACTAGTAAAATGCAATGGTTGAAATAATAAGCTACAAAACTTGTCTCTTTTTCTGATAGGACAAATTTGTGATAATTCAGAGTAAAAACACATTCATACATATACAGTCTCACAAAGAATAAACTAACCACTTCCTACTTCAAACTTCAGAGTATGTTACACTGTACAATATTCTATTTACATCTATTACAACTATTTTTGGCAATTAATTGTTATTTCTAAATCTAGTGACTATATACATTTTACTTTGAAAACATCAGCTACGTCCAAAACTAATTTAATCTTGTCAGGTTGAATTATTAACACATATACAATCTAATTTGACTAGTTCCGACGACTACCTTGAAAAACTAAACTAGGGACAATGTTTGGTACAGTCAAATGGAAAGGCATTGTTTATTTTTTTGAAAACATTGATCACAAAATGTACTACTTCGCTAAAAACCGGCGATTAAAAAGTAAAATTTAAAATGGGATATTTTACAACAAATATTGACAGGAAAACACAGCACCATTAATTTTGTTTAGACAAAACAAAATGTTTACACAAAATTTTGGGAAAAAATATTTCCGAAGGAAAGTCTTCCAATTAAGTTAAATGTCTACGTAAAATTAAAAGCCTTTAACTTAACTTATAGATTAATTACAAAATATTATCATACGTTTGTTTAAAATACGCATCTGGGACAATTCCAAAGTTTTGTTCAGAATCACTGAATGTTTATAACTAATAGTGAGTCTACGCTGCGGCAGGTTGAGCGTTTCCGCGATGCCTGCGACTTCTGACTTTCATCTCTGATCTTGCGACTGCAATCCATTCATTGCGACCCGCATCAAACCACGTCAGCCCCAGGTTGTAGCGGCCGTTTAGATTTGCGTGTTGGCAATGTGAAAACCACCTAAAACCAAAATGTTTGCCATGAACAATTTAAAATTTTAAATAATCAAAAACAAAACATTTTTTAAACTATTACTACCATAGCAGCTCACCAGTGGTATGTTAAGCTTAGTCAGTGGTATGAACAAAGGTCCTTTACAAATTTAAAGCTTCCTAAGTATGAATCAAGTTCTGTAGATTTCTGTAGCTTAAGGGTTTAACTTCAAAGTCTATTGCCACTTGACAGGTGTGAATGAATAAAATATTAAAAAAATATGGAAAGTGATTGGGCGTAGAGAATAGTTTTGTCTGTTTTGGGTAACACTGGTTATGAAAATCCTTATTATTTTATACCTACAAGAATTTGTCAACAGGGACGTAGTAAATGTAGGTAGAATGTGGTGGAATTTCAGAAGTGATCATAAATATTTACATTATCTTCTAATATTATTATCGGTCACTGAGACGAGGATAATCTTCATATTAATATGGGAACCATCTAAGATAGTGGCGGAAGTAGTAAAAAACATGGAGTTGGTGTCAAATTACTCGTTGTAGACCTTAACTTAAAGATAATCCTTGCTTACAAACATTAATTTGGTTACAAATTTGAAAAGAATCTTTTTCAAATAAATTTTAATGCTGAAACTTACCATCCTCCCTCGTAGTTGGCCGCGCAGTGAGTGTTGCTAACATCTCTATCAGAATCAATGGCACTGAACTGCATGTGGTTCTGGTAGTCGAGGGCGTCACTAGCGTTACCATGGTAACCGGCAACATTGAGTCTGTAGCCGTCACTAGCGTTGCCGACGCTGAACTGATCGTACTCCGCGTACCAAGCTTTGCCGTAGATATCCACAAGGTCTACTCGGAGAGACGACTCGTTGGCTGCTGTCAGTCTGTGCAGAGCTTCATTGCCAATCCAAAACTCTCCTGATAACAGAATGAGCCAAGTTAGTTACTTCAACATACAGGCTGTTCCTTTTTTAAATTCATAATTTGTGAAAATAGTAAATAACTTTTATTGTGTTGTTCAGACAGTTTTTATGTGTTGTCAATCTGTTTTGGGTTTACCCATGGAAACTTTCACCTGCCCTGGTTAATGTCAAAAATTATGAATTTCTGACTGCTTTTGTATAGCTAGTTCTGATTGCATTTGAGATATCCTTACTAAATATATGAACAGTAATTTAACTGCCATATACTGTAGCCACTCCTAGTGGGAACTGAATCTAATTTAGAATAGTTAATTTTTTTTTAAATTACGACCATATGATGAAAAAAAATCTGGATCAAGTTTGAGTAGCCCACAAAGTGTTTTGGCTGAAGAAACCTTATAAATATGTCCTACAACTCAAATATTAGGGATGAATACTTATTGCAAAGCAAAAGCAATACAGAACCTATATATTACTCTGTTTTATTCTAAACTATTGACTGATACAGAAACTTGTAATTGTAATGCTTTCTATCGGTTTAAGACATCAAGTTTCGAAGAATGCACAAAGCCTTTCTAATCTCTTTGACTCGAACTAGCCTTTTCAATCACTTGGAACTTTCTTGGTTATTACAAAACTTCCGGACTTCTGAACTGTCAAAACTTTTCCTAATTTAAACTCCATGTTTCTTAATCCACGTGAAAAGTGGACGTAAACTGTAAGTCTCTTAAGTTTAGAAAGTAGGAAGTGAATAATTTAAAGTGTTTGCAAACTGTAATGACTGGGTTAATGATTTGGGTTGTTTATGTTTTTCTTTAGTTGTTTAACTATTAAGAGACCAATTTAATGTATTTTTCAAGTTTGAAAAAAAAAGAAAGCTTGATACGTATATAACAAAGCAATCGATAAGTCAATGGTATAATTTACTCATACATTCACGAAAGTACATTCAAATTTTCTAACACAATATTTACCTAAAGCAGAGCCGAATCCTTTAGCGTATTGTTGCCAGTTGTTGTTGAAGTCTTGCGAGCCGTCTTGTCGGCGCTGCACCAGAGTCCAACCGCCCGCGCCAGTAGTTTGGTCACAGAAAGTAACCAATGGTGTGCCTTTACCCGGTGCTACGATATACAGACCTGACGGACCATTCACCCAACTGCAATCTGTAGAAACAGATAATTTATTAATAAATTTAAGTACTGTAAATGGTAAATTTTGATCTTCAAACTGGAATATAAAACTGTACAGAAGGACTATGGTAAAAAAATTACCTACTCATCCATATTTAACTTTTTGAGTTCCAATGGTCAGTAAACTGTATAAGAGTAGAAAAATCTATCCTTCACTTAAAAGGAGAGTACCTATAACCTTTGACAATTAATAGCACTAGACATTCTGGAATTAACATTTTAACTAAAATTCAATGTGAACTATAATTGCATCCTCTTGTTTAAGTTTTCTCCAGGATTTTAATTAAAATGGACGTAGTTTAAGTGAGCCGACAGAACACCCTGATTTAAATTACTGGTTTCTATCACATGTGCAGAATTTTTTAACCAAATTAAACTGATAGGATGACCAATTTTGTAACCTATACCATCTTTTAATTATGTATACTATCTCAACAAGAAAAAAATAAGGTAGACTATATAATTTTAGACACTAGCGCAATCTCTAAATGGTTCACACTCTACTATGTTTTTAACAAAATTGGCGACAGCTGATCCATATAATGGAATGTCTACTTTAGTTTAAAGAAATTAGTAATGACGCAAACTACTGACATGTGCATAAACATCGGAGTAAAGTTTGGTACTTCTATGTTTCGTCTTTGGGTTAACCAGTAAATAGTGTATAGACATCCAAAGAACAAAACAACCTGTGCAGAAACAAAAATATCTTGTGGTTCGCGCCGGTAGATGGGGCATACCCTTCAAACCTGCGCGGCTTGAAATGGCCCAGGGTTCTTTTGTTTCTGGTGTCTATAGTGTAGTAGACTGTCATTTCTTATCAATAACCCAGCAGTGTAATTTGTGCCCCTTTCCAGTAAACGGAACCGTAAAAGTGTAATATAAACTTTAGGATTACCCTCACTACTGTGTACTAACCGTGAGGTAAATCAGCGACAATGGAGTCATAATCTTGCACAACATGAGTCAGTCGTTCCACAAGACCCGAGAGTCGTTCAGAGTGCTGAGGCAGAGTCAGCGGCACCTCGCGCGAGGCTTTCTTTTCGGACAGGGCTGCTAGCCTCGCGTGGTCGTGGTTCACCTTCTCCTGCATGGTCGACATAGCCTCTCCCATAGCCTTCACCATACTACGCTGGTTCTCCTGTGGTTTAAGAAAGAGTTGTAATGGTGTATAATAGTATTTCAAAGGGTAATAGACATTAAGTGATGGGGAAGATCATTAAAAATGTTATAAATATTTGTTACAACTAGACCCAATGTTAACTATAAATCAGGCCCGTAGTTTTAATGTACCTAAGGTTATGGGCCCAAAAGATAATTGGGCCCCTCCCCCTTCCTTGCGGGGGAATTCATCTCTTTCTGGCCCCCCCAAGAAACCTTTCGCACTTCTCATTTACTAAAGTTGTACTGCTATAAATAATGTTTTATTTTGTTGTAAGTTTTTCTATCAATATTGGATTAACTACTTTTTATAGACAAAAACCGAATCTGCCATAGTATTGTTCTGATAGTCGGGTCAGTTTATCTTGTTTGTACCTGCTACAATGATGAAAAATAAAAGTGAATCAGACTTATACTTTACACAAGATAAGTTTGGTATTTTGTACAGAGTTCGTTAACGTGCTTGATGAAAAATCATTCTAAGTAGAGCATAACTTACTTATGTTTAAGTGAAATATTAGTTGTACATTCCACTCATTTAAGACAGAAGTTTATTCACGAATTTAATATAAAACGTACCATTTTCTACTTTGATGGGAGTAACAAAATTATAGCCTCTTTGATCATGTGTTCTGTCAAGACTGAGGACAATTTCTCTCAATACATCAATGTCAGACTTTCTCCATCCCTTTTCCTCTGTTTTAATTAAACTCTCGTTTTCAATTTCCCTCTAAAAACAGACCCAGCCGCCCAGAGTAAATACTCTTTGTGTTGTGATCAGGAAAAACAAAACTTTAATACAATAATTTTGTATTTACTTTGAATTTCTTTATCGAACGGTTAGCATAAAATAAAAAATCATTTCATTGTACCTAAATTTGGTTTCATTGTTGTACTAGTTTTTTTTTTCATCCAGTACTTATATATTTTAAGAAAGTGACAGTGAAAATTACAGGGTGAAAGTAGGTGGAATCCATGCAGCTTACTGAATAAAATCAGCTGTTATCTGTAGTCATGACTATTGATTAAAAACATAAATTATGAAGAACAGCTGGATTTATTCAAAACATGAACTGACTTTTATTTATTTTTTTCAAATGTTCAATGTTTTTCAATTTCCACCAACCTGATCTTCCTTGGTGATGCTGACAGTTGAGGTCAACTGAGCCAAGCTGAACTCCAATCTGCTGATTTCCTTGCGGAAGGAAGGAACTGTGTCGTCTACCTTGGCCTCCAAGCTCTCCACAGACTCTAGAAGCTCTAGCATAGACACATGCAGCTTGCTGAGGCCGGCCACCTGTGCGACAAAATGATCATTCAGTGCTGCCACCTTAACTCAACATAAATTGACTAAAATCAACACTTAATCAATTCAACCAACATCAAGAGTAACGTAACTGGCATGAAGAGGCCACTGTGGATTGAGACTTTTCGCTATAATGTTCCTAATCTTTACTGTGTGTGCGCTTCAATACGACGGGGTTATGAAATCAACAAATAATCTGTGACTAAGGCAAATAATGAACAAAAATAATGTATTTTGGCAAAAACAAATTAAGTTAGTAACTTTTAGGACCAAAGTCAAAAGTTGATAATTAACAGATTCTGTTGGGGGGTAAAGGAGGGAAATGTTTCAACTTAGTTATATTACAGGCTTGATTCAAGAGGAACACAGTGTACTGGTTGGATAACAATCTGGAGCCTATCTCTTAAGATTTTTTTTAAGTTCACACCTAATTTAAAAATCATTTTACAAACAAAATGCTGATGCCGTATTATTTTATTGATTTTTGTTAAGCTAACCACAAAAATTGTCTCTGCGAGGAAGGTAGTTAGAGGTCATAATCGTTTCCTCTTACAATCCTCAATTTCTGGAAATCAAGAACTTTTAAAAAAATTAATTGAAGTCATACTTTTAATTCTCCAAGGATGTATCAACGATATTACTGTATCTAAATACATGATGCCAATTAGTACACAAAATGTCGGTTTCAATCTAATGTCATGAAATTTAACTCACCTGGCGTGTTATGTTGAAGAGGGACTTTGCAGTTTTCCTGTTCTCATTCTCCAGCTGAGAAACCCGGAGAGCCAAGTCTTCCTCCAGGACTTCATTGTCGGTCACCCGCTGGAACCTGGCTACTGGAGCTGGAGTCTGGAGTTTCTTCTCCAGACGCTGAACCTGCAACTCCAACCGTGCCTGAGCCGAGGTCAGCGTCTCCATCTTCTTCTTCAACAATCGCTGATGACGATATTTCTTGTTGTCTTCTGGCGTGTCTTCTGCAGGTGTTATTCTGGAGTCCTTTTTGTGCTGAAACAGGAGACGATAATGTAATTTTTGTTATAACTGAACAGCAGCTTTTAAGTTTTTTTGTTAAGCAATATGGTGATATTGTAATAATAAAATGTTCTGGGTACATGATGAAGTTGTAACAAATTTGTTTGTGGTTTGTGGTAGGCCTACTCCTTACTGATTAAATATTAAAAAAATAAAACAAAGGTAGGTATAGATTTTGATGTTGGCCTATATTGTTTAATACAGGTTGTTTAGCATTCATTGACCTTTGCTTGTAAACAATGAAATATTTTTGACATTTAAATACAAGGAGGTGTTGTTTAGAATTTTCGAATAATATTTTGGTATTTTGATTTATAATCAATTCCTGGAACAGTAAAGAAAAAAAAACAGTAAAAAATTGAAAACAATTTAAATTACATAACATTAACCCCACACCTTCAGCTAAAAGTGATCAACTTTTGCTTTTAGCCTCAATAAAACATATCTAATATTCACTACATAAAATCAACAAGGCTATGGAAAAACTGTGAAACTCCTCATCCTTGAGAATTTAATATTAATGTTTGAGACTTTCATGTTTACATTTGCATGATGAAGAGGTTATCTGCACCCTAATAACAACCTGTATCTATACATTGAATACATTATCGTTCTGTTTAAATGTTTTAACATACAAGTTCCTAGAGTTGGCATTAACAAAGGGAATATAAATCAGAAGAAGTTGGCCATATTAGTTCATATATCATAAAAACTGCACATTTCCCTAAACATAACTTTACCTCACTGCAATGAAAATAAGGTCATACATTACTTCCACCACATCAAGGCCGTGGAATAGCTCTGGCTACTTCAAGAGCTCTCTAGTTTTCTCTTCTAATCTATTTACACAAAATGTTATATTCAAAGTTTGAATTAAATATTTTGTTATTGTTTGAAAAATATTTTACTTAATAATACGTGCATAAAAGAATATTAAAAACCACAATCACTGGAAATATTGAATCGGTTTAAAAAAATTGTGTTTTATATTTACAAAACAATGAAATATAAAAATTTGAAAACACCTCCCCTTGTCTTTATTTTGTGTAATGATGCTTAGCAAACCCTTATTTTTCAAAAATGATTTCCTAATAATTTTATTATGAATATGTTTTCTTTAAGCAATGAAACATCAACAAAAATCAGAAAGCTATGTTTTACCTTGAACATAATTATAGCATAGTTTATTAACAGAGTTTATTTTTGATTTCTCTAGGATATTTTAGTTAAAACTTAAAAAAAAATCCTCAATGATTTATAAATTCAAGATATTTCGGCTACACAATAAAAAAAACACAATTGGAAAACCAAGAAACGTAGATTTATTTTTGTAACTTGAATTTCTTTTGGTTAAATTTAATCGCACTTACTTTATCATCTATTTATTTATTCATTCATTCATTCATAGTCGTATAGGTTAAAACTTGGAAACGCTCGTTAAACATTATTTTCTCATTTAAACACGAGTAGACATATTTTTCCTCCGAACAATTAAACTTTCATAAATATCAGAGAGAAACTACCTTTGTGCCTTCAACAATTTTTCCCCCTTTTTGAATGCGATTGATTCACACGTTGCTTCTAGCTTAGGTCATAAGTATGAAACGTCAAACACAAAATCACTCGTCCGAAATGATTTCTCGAGTGTATTTCTCATGAACAATGAAACAATGAAACATCAACTTTTAGCTGTGACACAGTTTCTTCCGTAAATATATAAATCAATTCTCGGAAGCCGGTTTCTCGTAGCCCGAGGCAAGGCAGGTGCTACAGTGGACAGCCTCCGTGCCTCCCAATTAGCCGCGTATTATCAAATCTCGGGATCCGTTAGGGAAGAGAATGTGTCAAAGTACCGAATCCTATTGAAATCCAAAATTAATAAATCGGTTTAAATTTCCCACAGCACCTAAACATTTTTTAAAACGTCTTAAAACACCGAAAATCGGAACCACGGGATTTTTGTTTGGATCGTGTTTACACCAGTGGTATTTTTAAATAAAGTTCAAGTTAGATCAAACGGTTTTAAGAGATATTCTCAAACATTGACTAAAACTAAACAAAATAAGGGGGGAAATAAAGAATTCGTTGTTATGGGATCTATTTTAATTCATGTGGAATTCTGTGCTGTAAGACCAGACCGTAACTGTCTGGCCACATTCGGTTGGGAGGATCTTTTGATAGAAATTACTTAACAACCAACCGATGCTAACCTGCAATTGATCTCACACTCGCTGGGTCGTGATAATAGGCGCCGTTTGTCAAAGGGATCACTCATCTGTTTATCACGCAACGCTCTCAACACTCCCACAGTTTGAAAAGTGATAACAGTTCAACTATTCGGTGAGTCAAAGTTACAAATATAGATAACTAACTAACTATAACTAGTGCTACAACTTTTTTCCTTTTGGTGTACGCAGTGAGGCGAGTTTACAGATTTGTCTGTTGGTTACCAATACATAAATAGTTCTTTTAATCAAGATCAAGAAGGAGGGCCCATACGCAAATTGCACGGTTTAATATGCAAAATTAAAAAAAAGTTCTATGAAAATATTCCATCAACATTTCCCACAACTTTTTAAGAGGAAAAATTAACCCAGTACAAATCCCATTAACAGTTAGGCGAATAGAACTACTAATTTACAATTAATTTGTTGATTTTAGATCTTAACAGTAAAGAGTGATTTACCTCAATCAGGTCACAGTTGTCAAAAAGAAAAAGGTAGCCTATTATAAATACAAAATTAAATTATTGGGTCTAAGCTTAAGATAACGCGAGAGGGATATTTCCACTTATAACTGCATCAATAAATCATTGCATGGTTACCAAACTATGACTTCTTGACCATTCATTAAATAATTCCTGGTTTCAACCACACCGAACTGAATTCCTGCTTCATGTTTGCTCTGTTTTCGTCGGGTAACAGTTTTTTAATCAGTCTAGGAACCTTTCTAACCGATTACTAGAGAAAAGTAAGCAAAATCACGAAATGACAGATTAAATTAAAGTACAACTGAATTAAAACAGTAAAAATGCAATATTTTTGCTGACGTGACAGCTCTAGCGCCTGACCGCTGTGGGTATGCAATCCAAACACATCATAACTATTGCCTATCCGACGACTGGGCACTGTTGGACTAAATCGACAGTCTAAGTTTACAGATTAATAACTAATAAAACATTAATAGTGTTTAAAAGTAAATGTTTTAAATTGAGTTTATAAGCTAATCAGTGTATTCAAGTTTTCTGTTTTGAACAAATAAATTTGTCAACGTTTACGTAGTTTGCAGTATTTACAATTGTCTACGAGTTTTAATTTGCCAAACTAATTGAAAACGAGTATAGTTTTGTACAACAAAATTCTATAAGAAATCTACGTACTTGCGAGTGCTATACCTAAGAATAATGATTAAAAACCACTTATTATGTTTAATTTGTTTGGTTAATAATGTAAATCGTATTACTACTTCTCGGGAAATTACAGAAAGCGTTATACACTTTAATAATATGCCTACCACAAGATAAATAACAGTTCCCAAATACATAGTTTTATTCGATCAATTTAACAGGATATAATCATGGCAAATAATAAAAAGTCGCCAAAACACATATAGGTCCACTAAAGAGAAACTCGGAAAAGAGCCGGTCTACTGGTAGAGCGCGGGACTTCAGTTCCTGAGGTAGTGGGTTCAAATCCAGCCAATCAACAATGAAGTTTGTCTAAGTGACAATTCAGCGACCCCCTAGACCTAGCCTGAAGTAACGTGTAACATAATCCCGGGTTGGAACCTGGGAGAAACTAGAGGGAAACATTCAAGATTGTCTTCAGCTTGGCCATAAGTAAGATAAATCTGATCTATTCAATCAGTAGAGGTAGTTTTCAATTCAAACCTTCATCCATCACCTGGCTAACTCTTGGCCAGGTAACACAGTTAAGTTACGAGTTACGGCCACGGGAAGTAGTTAAGTTCTGCAGGGAGGAGTTGAGCGGTTCACGGACCATGACTTGATATAGGTCCGCGCACTCGGCTGTGACGAATATAAATTGCATCTCTTTATTTTTATTTTCTTTAACCACTTCAAATTATGTAGTTCAAAGAGCTATGTAACGAAAATCGTCAAGGGTAACGTATTTTATAAACTTCTAAAATCTTGTGAATTTAATTTTCTAGTTATAGTAGGTGTTCCAAATGTTATAGAGTTTTGGCGTTTATTTATTTTTTTGAATCCTCTAGGTTCTTTTTATCTCTTAGACAAAAGGCGGAATTTGAACCCGGGACCTCGGGGACTGAAATCCCAAGCCATATCACATAGACCAGCTCGCTTACGATTTTGGGGGAAGGAGACCTCATTACGTTAAAGTTATTATCAGTTTTTTATTAAAAGTTATGTATATCTACAACAGAATGTACAGTTTGTATACTGGTTTCATATAGAAATTTAGTTTACAACACAACAGATATATCGGCGTATGTCAATATTCTTAAAATAACCAAAAACACTTTTGTTAAAAAAAACTTCAGTACTAGCACGGTTGTACTGGACGGAGGGTGAATGTTGATTGAATAATAGTTTTGTTCGTGACAAAACAAGTTAAAAAACCATTATTACAAATATTTATACCATAATAATTGATTTGTTGCATACAATCGGGTACAAATTGAGTGTTTCAAGTTGTAACAACATTTTACTATACGCATCAAATAACTATTTACAAAAAGTAATAAACGAGTTAATCAATATTATGGTGTATATTTTCACAGTCAAAAGCTCCCCGGCAAATCTGAACACGGAAGTTTCTGTAATTACTTTGCCTCCTACATATGGAATGTTGGATCCAATGATTGGAATTGGATTGGAGCTCGACCTTTGCTCTCCAATTAACTATTCGTCCGTGTCCTTTATTCGATAATAAGCTTACCGTCAATTTGATCAGTTTATAAAGTGGCCAATTATCTCAGTTTGTCGACTTCTC